CCGGTACTTACCAGGTTTCTTCTTCAGCACCACACCCAGAGGTGAAACCCTAAGATGAGGTAGCAGGGGCTCCGCAAAAGGCCCCGCCATCCTGCCCAATTGAACCTCTTTACGCAATTTTTCCCACACCACCCCCGGAAATTCCCCAACTGAGTTTAAATTATGAAGACGTTGATCCATTACCCTATCCCGGAACGGGATAACAAAAGCACTAGTAAAAGCATCCTTCAGAAATGACGCATCAACATGGTTACCATAGCTGTTTATCCACGGTAACATCGAGCCGAACAACCCCAACGTTAACCCCATCGACAGCGGATGGGACAGCCCCTCCCGATGAACTGCAGCAGCAGCCTCACCTCTTTTGAAGCACCAATAAAATCCGTGAGTTCCTCCACAACCTGAACACTAACGCTTAAACCGACAGGCCCCCACACTTGCACTAAACCTTTTCTATGGCTGGTCGACGAGGGGGAGGAAGATCCTGTGCCGTTCCCCGACTGAAAGGGGGAAGCCTTCTGTGCCATCATTAGCTTCATCCAGAGCGGCAGGTCCATTTGATCACACCGCATCCCTGGATTGACAGACAAACTGTTCATTATAACGCCACCACGCGAGACTCCTGTACGTGCGGTATGCCTCCCAAATACCGTTGATGTAGCAAAACTGGGAACAATGATCCGGAGACTTCTCGCTCATCACACTAGCCAGAATACAGAAAGCCCTCAACCAATTTCCAAACGTCTTAGGAATCTTACGGTAACGACACTTCTTTTCCTCTTCCTCTTTTTTGGTATACATTTTATCCTCTTCTTTAAGATCAATATACTCCTCCAGAGGTAGAAGAGAATAGATCTAAAAAATATGTTCAAATATGTTCATTCACTTCGGGTTTAAGATGACAACCCAAAGGTCACGCAAAGGAAACGTGCACATTCCGACGAGCCGCATCCGGAATACCCCCTAGCAAATTCGCTAGCTCACTCCCTAAATCAATCGTTGCCGAAATGTCCGTGGGTGACCGTCTTGGCGACATGTAAGGAGAAGACATCCTAGGTAGGCTGGCCGTAGTATCCCTGACCTGCTTAACTCCCGAGTGGGAACAGTGAAATAATCCCTCACTGACTTCTTGACCCCTAGGGCCGTGAACATGTGAAGAAGCCCCTGCACCACTCCTCTCTGGAGAACTCCCGCTAGTAGATCTAGACCCACTACGCCTCCGGTTCTCAATTCTGACAATCCCCCAGGTATATCCTGAAGGGGACCCCCGTCGTCACTATTACGATGGCTGCTCCTAGAACGATACCCATCAGCGTCCCTATGGGACCTGCGTGCAGTGTGGTATGCCCACCTGTGATGAAAACTCCCTGAGCTGTCCCTCAACGTAAGTACTCCCTGTTGCTTACCTCCAGACTCACCCCATGTTGCCCTGATGTTATCCTGGGAGGTGACACAGCCAAAACACTTTGGTCCCGTAATCTGTCAGGGGAATCTATGGACCGTTGTACGTCAGTGGAAAGAGGGGACTCAACTGTTGTTTGTCTGCCCGAATGCCTACCAAACCTGTACTGGGCTAGCAAATTGGGGGCAATGGTGTTGGGAGCCGACTCATCCATATGATGAACAACCAGTGTCTCCGCTCTTCCACTCCAAGCAGCATTTCCAGCTTTACCAGATCCTGCTGCAAAGTCTGCTGTTCATCCTGTATCACTCCTATTGTTCGCTGTGCGAATAGGTCCCTGCCCAAACGCTGTACCCCTTCTGCCAAACGTACAGCCATATGTGAAATGAGAAATCTGCCTCCCGAAAGCTTAGCTGCATGCAAAAGGCTGCATTCGCAAACCAAACGTTCGGTAGTTTCTGTACTTCCTGGTTCATGGCCTGAATGTGTGGTCACAAGGGAATCCTCCTGTTCGCGGCCCAGCGGTCAGATGGAGCCTCGTTCCCGTTGCCATGACGCAAACGTGTGGCCGCCGACATCCTTATCGACACTGCCAGGGACTTCAGATGGGCTCCGTTGTGGCCGCATACCAGGAACTGTGCTGGGGCTCAATCTCTGAGGGGGCCTTGTCCTCCAAATGGGCCTCTGTGCAGGGGAAGTGGCAGATCTTGATGTCAACTCATCACCGAAACGACCCTGCAGCCACGTGACACCTCTCTCTCCTGCACAGCTGCCCTGACTCCTGCTAGTCACGCTTCCATCCTCAGCTACTGAAACCTGAAAAAAGAAATAAAGACACTACACAAAACCTTTCACAACAACAGGTAAGTGCTGATTAATTAAAATGTCCCCTTAACCTAAAATGGCCCCTTTACACCCTGTTCCAAATTATTATGCAAATTCTATTTAAGTGTCACAAAGATTAAATATTTTGTTTTTCAGTTTAACTCATGGCATTGTGTCTCAGGGCTCTTTTGATCACTGAAAACAATCTCGGACACCTGTGATAATTAGATTGCTAGGTGAGCCCAATTTAAGGAAAAACTACTAAAGGAGGGTGTTCCACATTATTAAGCAGAGCCCCATTTTCATGCAATATGGGGAAGAAAAAGGATCTCTCTGCTGCCGAAAAGAGTGAAATAGTTCAATGCCTTGGACGAGGTATGAAAACATTAGATATTTCACGAAAACTTAAGCGTGATCATCGCACTATTAAGCGATTTGTGGCTGATTCAGAGCACAGATGGGTTTGTGCAGATAAAGGCACATTGAGGAAGATTTCTGCCAGATCCATACATCGGATCACGAGAGCAGCTGCTAAAATACCATTACATAGCCACAAACAGATATTTGAAGCTGCTGTTGCCTCTGGAGTCCCACGGACATCAAGGTGTAGAGTCCTCCAGAGTCTTGCAACTGTGCATAAACCTTCTATTCGGCCACCACTAACCAATGCTCACAAGCAGAAATGGCTGCATTGGGCAGAAAAATACATGAAGACTAATTTTCAAACAGTCTTGTTCACTGATGAGTGCTGTGCAACCCTGGATGGTCCAGATGGATGGAGTAGTGGATGGTTGGTGGACGACCACCCTGTTCCAACAAGGCTGCGACGTCAGCAAGGCGGTGGTGGAGTCATGTTTTGGGCCAGAATCATGGGAAAAGAGCTGGTCGGCCCCTTTAGGGTCCCCGAAGGTGTAAAGATGACCTCCTCAAAGTATGTGGAGTTTCTGACTGACCACTTTCTTCCTTGGCACAGAAGGAAGAACTATGCTTTCCGTAATAAAATCATCTTCATGCTTGACAATGCACCATCTCATGCTGCAAAGAATAACTCTGCATCAATGGCTGCCATGGGGATAAAATGAGAGAAAGTCATGGTGTGACCTCTATCCTCCCCTGACCTCAATCCTATTGAGAACCTTTGGAGCATCCTCAAGCAAAAGATCTATGAGGGTGGGAGGCAGTTTACATCCAAACAGCAGCTCTGGGAGGCTATTATGATATCTTGCAAACAAATCCAAGCAGAAACAGTCCAAAAACTCACACGTTCAATGGATGCAAGACTTGTGAAGCTGCTATCAAATAAGGGGTCCTATGTTAAAATGTAACATGACCTGTTAAAATGTTTAAAAAGTTAAAATGTTGTAATAAGTTTGATTGAAATAGCTTTTGATTTCAGTAAATATGCTGCAAATGATATTTTCAGTTCTTTACAACCTATAAAGTGTTTTGAAACTTACTGTGCGTAATAATTTGGAACAGTGCATTGTAAGTTTTTTATGTTTAAAAAAAATACTGTTATCATTAGCAGGTTTGCTCAATAATATTTTAATTTTCCCCTTAATAGTTGATAACATGAGAATTATGCTGACTGTTATTTACATCAATTATTGGTAAATGAGAAAAATATAATTTGCATAATAATTTGGAACAGGATGTATATATATAGCCTGTAAGCTCCACCCACAATGCTATTTTAAACCAATCCCACACACCAAAGTCATTATATGCCTGTCTCCTAGCAATGTCAAGGCCACTCCCCTTAACTACGCTGGTACATGGGCTACAAACAATTAAATATACAGTATCATTCAGCGGTTGCTAAGTCCTGTAAGATCATGCATAAAATGGGGTATTAATTCATGGCATGAAAATATAATTTTGCCTCTTCATAAATCAATGGTTAGGTATCGCCCGAAATGTGTATAATAATAATAATAATAATAATAATAATAACAACAACATCATATTTTTAGCTTTACACATTTTTTTTACAAGTACCTACAAGTCATGTGTGCTGGAGTGTAACTGACAAGGTTAATTTTTTATTTTTTTTATATAAATTCAAATGTTTGTACTTAGGGATTTGAATTTAGGGTAGTAGTGCAATTTTTATCAAAATATTTTATTACAATTAATAGGATTGGAAACAAGAATTAAATACAAAATTACCTTAATTGCTCCAGAGATCCGTATTTTTCAGCCTAATGGCAGAATTATTTTCCACCAAAAAGGGGGCGGGGCCTGAACGCTGAGCTGAGAAGACGCATGTGGGCACAGCTCCTGCTCTGAAAGCCACAAACAACGGTAAAACGACACAACACAGCCCAGAAAAGCTAAAAACGGGTGACCACGCGACAGGCAAAGCAACGCTGATCATTTTGATGCCACACAAGCAACTATTAATGCCGGATTGTCGCGAACTGCGTTTGAGGCCTAGCATGAAAAGTAGCCTGATTGCCGGGGGATGTCCCGACATGGGGTCCGCACCGCACAACAGCTCTTCTGTCTCCCTGCTTTTCCCCCCATGGACCGGTGGGGGATATCCCGGTCCCCGCTGGGGAATCATACTCACCTGCAACAAGGGACTATCTCGCCGAGCAGAGAGTCACACGATGCGCCCATGAAGGCCGCCATACAGCCCTCTCAGCAAACAAATGGGGACCCAGAGCTCCAGCACTGGAGACTGCAATTCGAGCTCTGGTTTGAGCAAATATGCCAAGCTTTCTGAAGGCACTTACAACACAGACCTCCCTACCAAGTCTCACCCATCATAATGACTAAAGCAGCAGCGGCAGTCCGTCCATCCAGCTCTGGGTGGGAGGCCCATACGAGGGTGCGCCCACCCAGTCACTTCAACAACCGGAAGGCTCCCCGCACACAGCAGAGTCCCAGGACCCTGGTTCATTCTGATCGGAGCAAGACCAAGCCACAACCTGCTAAGCAATCTGCCAGAGTGACTTGGTTTCAGTCCGACCCTCCACAGACAAGTACCAAGAAGAGAAATACCAGGCTTAAGCCAAAAGCAGCGCGGCAGGTGGAAAAGCAGAGGTCTCGTAAAGAAACCCGATGAAGACAGCTCGGTTCCTGTGCACCCTTGAGCTCACATGGGCCACAGCTCCTCAGGAGAAACACCCTTCCATGCCACCCGCTCCCTCGGATGACCATCACCCTCTACTAGCAGTGTAATCCTCATAGCGGACCCAGAGAACAAGTTATGCCTGCAATAACACGAGAGACTTATGTGATCGGAGAGGGGAACTGCCCCATAGCTGGACGCTGGAGGGGTACTGCGAACCAGGACTCTCGTAATCTATCTTGCAAGGCCACTTGGCAGACAGTGGAGGGCATTGGCATTGGGATAGTCTCAGACCCAGGCATAGAGCAGGTTTAATTGTTTATATTGTGGATTTGATTACCCAGGAACATTCACATTTATTTACTGTTCAGCCAAACGTTAGTTAATCATAAGATACTTTAAAGTATAGTCAGTTACTAAGCTCAGCTAACCCCTTTAGTATACGTCCTGACTAACACCTCACTACTGTTTTTTATTTCTTAACCATGTATTTGCATCTAAGCAGAATGTCAGACAGTGCCTGTTAAGTTTTACACTAACCCAATTTATTATAATGGCAAAGTTTACACTCGTCTGTTTCCAGGACCGGAAATTTCCCGGCTCTTCTGGCGGCCGCAGGGGGGGCTGGCTGTTTTGTTTCTGCTCCCCTGCCCTCACGCGCTACTTAATAAGACTGGGGCCGGAATATGACGTCATTCTGGGGAGCAGAGACAGCACAGCTAGCTCCCCATGCGGCCGCCAGAAGAGCCAGCTCCCCCCCTGCGGCTGCCAGCACACCTGACCCAGCTGTCTGCCCTGCTCGACTCCCTGGCCACAGGTAGCTATATTATGTGTCAGTGTGAGTGAATGTGTGTGTGTCTGTCTGTCTGTGTCATGGTGTGTGTGTGTGTCTGTGTAATGGTCTGCCTGTGTCATGGTGCGTGTGTCTGTCATGGAGTATGTGTGTGTTTAGAAATAGTGTTTTTACTCACCTTTTTTTTTTCCCACGCCGTGCTGCGGGGCTGGCATAGATTTTTTTTCCAGGGCTGCTTTGTATCCTCAGTCCAGCCCTGTTTGTTTCTCATTAACATACCACAAATGCCAATATGCATAATCTTTTATTACTGTCCATACGAATATATCCTGTTTACAAAAATGTGCAGGCTTGTTTGTTAACCCTATTGCACAGAAAAATAAAGAATTAAAAACAAATTTCCACCAAAACATTTTGACAGTGTGTTCTGTTTAGCCAATTAAAACACCTATGCATTTTACCCTTTTAAGGACACATGACGGGAATATTCAATCACAATTCTAAATTAACTATTTCTGAAGCTGTGCCCTTAAAGGACCACTATAGTGCCAGGAAAACATATTCGTTTTCCTGGCACTATAGTGCCCTGAGGGTGCCCCCACCCTCAGGGTCCCCCTCCCGCCGGGCTCTGGGGAGAGGAAAGGGGTAAAACGTACCTTTTTTCTAGCGCCGGGCGGGGAGCTCTCCGCCTCCGATCCTCCTACTCTCCGCCCCTTCGGCTGAATGCGCGCGCATTCAGCTGGTCTCATAGGAAAGCATTTACAATGCTTTCCTATGGACGCTTGCGTGTTCTCACTGTGATTTTCACAGTGAGAAGCACGCAAGCGCCTCTAGCGGCTGTCAGTGAGACAGCCACTAGAGGATTTGAGGGCTGGATTAATTTATAAACATAGCAGTTTCACAGAAACTGCTATGTTTATAAAAAAAAAAAGGGTTAACCCTAGCTGGACCTGGCACCCAGACCACTTCATTAAGCTGAAGTGGTCTGGGTGCCTAGAGTGGCCCTTTAAGGGGTTATTGTTCTTTTCTATATTATTATTATTGGTCTCTGTTTTTCGTGAACACAAATGCTAAAATAACAAAAAAAAAAGTCATGTCTGTTCCTCCCAATTAATAAAACAATTCTGATATATCTTTTGTCCTGAAATAGTTAATTTATACCACTTCTTTGCTGGAAGTTTGAAAGGGTGGAACAAAAAGAAAACAGGTGAGCAATTATGATACTGCATTTTCAAAAGACAAAGCGGAATCAGGAAAGGTTTGTGGCTGAGGTAAACACACTCTCGTAGTTTTTACTTGTCCAAAGTTATGGTACTTTTTATGAACACACCCAAAATTACATATGGGTCAATTTAAAGAAAATGGGATATATTATTTGAAAATAGAATGAGTCTGTAAAACAAGCTTTTAATGCAGCACTGCAAGGCAAAATTTGTTAAAGCCCCCTATTCTTAAAGTAGCACTCAGGGCACCCAGACATTGAGTGTTATACATAGGTTAGTTTATGTTAAGTGTGGTTCATTTATTTTAATATTTATTAATAAGGTTGTACACCATAAGCCCCCCTTTAGTAATTTTGCTTCAAAATTAAAACTGTAATTGGTGTTATGACTTGATTTCTGTGAGCTGAAGCTTAGCTGTTGGCTGTCTCAGTAGAAAGCTGATAAATTGTACTGCAACTCCCCGAAATCTGTGTGCAACACAAAGTGTGATGGGCATCATGATTGGCTTTGTCATTTCCTGGTTCGTTAATGGCTCACTGCAGAAGCTACACAGCATGAGCATTTGCAACAAATGTAAGGACTGCAATTGGGTGAATAACTTTTACCTTATTTATGTTAAATGGAAAGATTGTTCATAAAGAATGTGTCTCTTATTCCTAATTCTTATTCACATCATGGGAAATGTAATTTAAAAACTTTGGTTTGGTAATTATGGTAATGTTAAGCATTTTGTTTTTTTTTATGTGGCATAAAGGGGGTCCAGCGTGGAAACTGTAAAACTAACCCTAAAACAAAGACTGAGTAAAATAATAAAAATGCAGAATTGGATGGCTTTAAAACCTACATTATTTTAAAAATAAAATGAAAATACTGCTTTATTAACCCTTTAATGATGGTCAACACTGTCCTATTAAAGGAATACTTAACTCTGTGTCATTATGTGGCTAATCTTTGATCAGCCAGTGGTACAGATTAGTTTAGTAAGTGCATATGTTATCTAGGGTAGAAGTAATAGACAATGTATTAAGAAGAAAGATGCTAGAGGCAGCGACATTGTACATTTGGCTTCCTATTGGGATGCAGCTTAAACTACATTTTAATTGAAAGTTAATGTATTTTATATTAAAGAGCACACATACTGTTAATAAGGTTTAACAATTTAGGTAAACATACGTGAAAAATCCCTGTTACTGAATGTGCTGTGGTCACGTTACCAGCAGGTGTCCTGCTAGTGCTGGAGCTAAACTGAAGCACAACAACTGATCCTAATTAAATTATTTCAATTGGGTGACCAATGTAGCTACTTTAAAAAGTAACCACACTGGAAAACTCACAATTCCTCTAGTAGTGCATTTAACAGGTAGTACATTTAAAAGAAGTGATTTGTGGAATGTTTTTTTTAAAAGAACCCTCCAAGCACCATAACCACTGTAGTGTGCAGTTTAACTTCTAACCTGGGGTCCGCAAGACCTCTCTCCCTGTTTACTTTAAGCCTCCATTAGTGCCAGAAGCTCCTGCTTTGGAGCTTCTATTATCCCTCCTCAGCTAGGTTAAGTAGCTCAGGGCATCAGCCAATGAGGTTAGCCCTGGAACATGGGGTTTGGCTCATAGCTGAGAGCTTTGGCTTAGTGGAAAAAGGAAGCTGTGCACAGTAGACCATAGGTAAGAATTCAAACTTTTGCTAAATGGCTCTAACTATTCACATTAGAGGGGGGCCTTACTACTTATGGAACCAAACCCACTACAGCACTTTGTAGTGGTTATGGTGCTTGAAGTGTTCCTTAAAAGAATCAATCCAAGCTCTATAACTACTGTAGTGGTTATGGTGCCAGGAGGGCACTGAATCAATCAGTCTTGGCAGGAAATAAAAGTAAAAATGTGTTCAGTTCACCAAATTTCATCCATACCGTGGTTCTGCTCTTCGCAATTTCATCCATAAATATGATTGGTGGGGAAAAAAAGGTTTGGACAAACCAAAACGTAGCAAAATATTTCTATGTGATGATATGAGTCTGGTCAAAATACTGCCTACCGAACAACATGTTATCAATTCCTTTTAGATCCGCATTCGGTTGTGAATTTTAAGCATTCGTTCCATCTGAACCCAGGTTTGTTTTATTTGTTTATCTGATTTAATGGTTGTCCTAAAGCCACCAATCATTTTTGTTTTTCTTTTTGCATCACTGGCGGAACTCTCAATCATGAATAAACTGAGCCAGCTCGTCCAATGTCCAGATTTGGTTACTTTGTAATACGGTTACATGGTGATTCGGAGTTATAAAATTTGGATTAACCCTGCAATCATTTTCTAACCCTAGCAACTTGACATATATCTCTCCATCCCCCAACATATGAGTTAACAGAAGGGTTAGTCTACCAGACAGGTGCCATCCACGTTGTCCTGCCACACACTAGTTCTTTGGAGGTGATGTGGGGTAATAGTTAAACTGATGGAACATGTTCACCATCATGAGCCAAAAGTCTGTCTTGCCTCAGAGCTGTGACCTAAAAACTGCAGGTAGAATAGATTCTTATTGATTTGTAATGGAAATAGAGACCTTTTGTTACAAGGCTAACATTGTCACTGGCATAGTACATGATGATTTTGCTGTAGCAAAACTTGCAATGGAATCCTAGTTATAGACTAAACATATTCCGTAGAAAGTGCAAGAATTCTTTTTTTTTTTAATTTATCATTTTTATTAAGGGTTCAACATCATAGCATTACACAGTAGGATCTAATACATTGGAGCCATAAGAAACGGGTACAGTAACAGATCTGAGTAGTAACTAATTTCCAGTTACATAATTATTCAAGCGATGCTACATATACAATAACTCCATAGGTTGTTATTCCGTAACTACTCTGCTGGTCTCCTCAGAGTTGAAAGGCTTGCCAACGTGGCTATAACCCTTGGTTTCTTAAGCAAAGGGGGGGGGAGGGAGGGTGGAAGTAGGTGGGGGAGAGCGTGAACTAG